CGTTGGCGTGGTTTTCCAGCCTTTGTGGTCTGTGGATGCATTGCCACAGAAACACCAAGGCTAGGTTGGTTCCTCACATCTGTTGAGGGCATTGCAGTAGCCATACTTGGGCCAGTGCTGCTTTCGCCACTGGTAACCAAGGGAGACTGGAGCCTATTTTTCGAATGTGAGCCTCTGCTTAACCCACGAACGCGAACCTTGTTAACCCGGGCGACGTCCGAGCCGGTATCATACTTAGACCTGGTTACTACCATGATAAATATCTCCACAGAATGTGGGTGTGTGGACACTTTTAGCTTCATTTCTCCTCATAGACCTTACTGGCATGGGTGTCCCTACCAGGAGCTTGTGCTCCAGCCTGCATTGCTCTATGGTTCAGTAAAATTATTGGGCTCTCCCACCACGACCAGGTGGTGACCACGGGAGAGTTATTATTATTATTATGATTATTATTATTATTTTGCTGTCTATAATCACTAAATAAAGGCTAGGTTATGCTAATTATTAAATATTATTTAATTGCCTATAAGAAAATAAACTGCAATATAGTGTCACATTAAATAGTATTAATTTTTGATAAAATTAATTATAAATATATTGAATTTATCAATTTTTGAAGTTTATTAGTTTATAAATAAAGCTTTGTTATTAAAGATATAATTCCATATACTTGAAAAATTATAAAATTATAACTTATTTAACTGTTTTTAAGCTGATTTTTATTTTATTTAAATGTATTATAAAGATGGACACAATGTCCATAGATTACTAATTTATATAAAGTCATAGGATTCTTTTCTTTTCAAATTTAAGTTTTGAAGGTGAAAGTTTTACGATATTCTAAATTGATTTAAGTGTAAAACAAGCTATGGGTCATTTAGAAGTCTTTTGACTTAAATTGTGTTTGGGTGTAAATAGCTATTGTGTCAAAGAACCATCTAGATCACCCAGTATAATTTCCAAGTTTTTTCATGTTATCCAAATTAAAAATTTGGAGAATTTCAATAATAAGTTGATTATAATTTATATTATTTTTGCTAAAAATAAACATGTGTTGAGCTTGTGGATTATCCCTGTATTTGTATATTGTGAGAATGAATTTGTTTTTGGTAGCTAATTAGTTTAAGAATCATGAATTTAATTCATATGATGTCATTTTAAAAACTAAACTACATTAGTTATATTGTTGTGTTTTACAAGTGTCTGTGTATGTGTGTATATAAATTAATATATATTTTACGATAAGAATTTGAGAATAAGTTAAAAATTATTTATACATTAAGGTGACGCTTTAACGAAATTACGCCCCATGAAATTATTTATAGGTATAAGTTGTTAACTTGATTTACAGTTGAGCATGAATTAATTTGCATATGAATGATAGATTAAAACAAGATTAAAAGAGCGCATTGTGGATTTAAAATATAATAGAATCAACTCTGTTTTTTACGAACATTGCACAACTCGTAACTACCAAATAGCTAAAACTAATGTTGTACACCAGGAAAAAAATTGGTACAAAAGAAAATTTAAAGAAAGTTATGAAATTACTAGACAAAAATAATATTAACAAGAACCTAAGCATAGAAATTCACAGAAACTGGTTGCAACTATTAAAATAGAATACCTCAAGGAATAATAGTCATACAGTTGTAGGCGTGGCTGTGTACAGAATTCTGGGAGAGAAAAGTTACACGTTGCGAGGCATGCAGGGGGAGAGAGGGGTATGTAGGGGGAAGACGTAGTGCGGAAGGTGCTGGACAGATGTCCACCAGATACCACCTAAAATGAATTACATGTATAGAATAAATGTAACCCAGTAACCGGAGATTTGTTCATCATATATATGTTATCCAGGTTGTCATGGTAGGTTTTTCTAATTATCATAGTGAAATATTATGTATTATGAGAAACTTGTAACAGACTGAAGAGGGGCAAAAGCCCAAAACACATCTCTATAAGTAAAGGTTATGGATTAAAAGGCTAATGATAAATTATTTGCCAAGTGTCTATAAATTTACCAAGTCATGACAGAACCAAACAAATTCTCATTCTCCCAAAGTTGTGATGAATTTAGTAACTTTGGTAGAATAGTTTGATCAGAGAAAAATCTTATTTGTATTTTTATTCTGAGAAAACAGAATTTATGCAAGATAATTTTTATAATCATTAAATATTTAACAGGATTAAAAAGTTATTGGTTTAAAGCTAAAGATTTATAGATAAAATTTACAGTGATTTACATATATTATTAGCTGTGTATTAATATTTGTTTTATAACAGTTATATTTTATTTGTTAGCGCCAGGTTGATGGATAGATTGTTGCAGTGTGAAGAAGTAAAATGGGAGTGGATTCAAAGTGTTCTAAATCAAAACATCTCTCAGGAATTAAAATGTAAATGTGGCGCACCAAGGTAATTTTCAATAATAATAATTGTTATAAATGTTACGTTTGAATGGCCTGATGACTGAGGCAGTTAAGGTGTCATTCTACTTCTCTGGAGATCCTTGATCAAATTTGGACAAGGTAGTTGCTTAACTACATAGGAATTTTTCATGAGATCTGTCCTGGATACGTCATGTTCTGTCCTTCATCACACAGCTTTCCCTATTGGGGGCCCAACTGAACTTATGATTGTAATGGAAAAAGATTTTTAGAGCTAATGAGGCAATATGTTTAAAACTGGAAAAAAATTATAAAAATTATAAATTTATTTACAAAATAAAGTTTAAAGAAAATTTCACTACAAATATATTTAAAATAAGATATATTTGCTATTACTAGTACTCTTATTTATGAACAGGTTAGATTCCTGAGGTTTTGTCATAAGAAAACTAATGTAGAAAGTTGATGACAAGTTCACAGAATAACCTAAGTGGTTAATGGGAAGCAAAATACATATTTCATAGTGTATAAATAGTGTATAAATTTCATAGTGTANAGTACTCTTATTTATGAACAGGTTAGATTCCTGAGGTTTTGTCATAAGAAAACTAATGTAGAAAGTTGATGACAAGTTCACAGAATAACCTAAGTGGTTAATGGGAAGCAAAATACATATTTCATAGTGTATAAATAGTGTATAAATTTCATAGTGTACATGTTTTGTATCGTTTGAGTCTACGTGCTTTGGCTGCGAGTTTCTGTTTTAGTGTATCGATGTATTCTGTAATGTGTGTATTGTGATGTTCATGTTTTGTGTGTGTTTTGATTTTCTTGAAAATGTTTTTGAGTTGTTTCTTTAATTTGGGTGTTATGTTGTTTTTAGTGTATTGTGTCAACCTGCCTAATTGCTGTCTAATGTCATTTATTTGTGTTTCTATTCTTCTCTGCCAGGCAGGCTTGTGATAGAATTGTGTTTTGTGTGTGTCTGTCTGTGAGTGTATTTTCAGTCCATGGTGTGTTACTACTGTGACTGCCCCAGCATAAACTAATGTATGAATGTCTGAGAGTGTAGAAATTGAATGAATGTAGTTTGGTAGTAAGTGAGTGTTTACATAATTTAGTGTTTTTCCTACTACCTTTGACGTGTTGATTTTCGGTATTCGTGGTCTTTGTGTGGGATCTGTACCTGTATATTTAGTGAGTGTTTCCTGAAATATAAGTGAGAGTGTATTAACTAATTCTATGTCTACGTTATCAGTGATGGATGGGGAAGTGCCTGCAGTATCATTAGTGGTACTTGTTGTGTGTGTGCTGTAATCAGTGCTTGTTGCTGGATTATCCTGACAGGTTACGTGATCTTCATTAATGTTAAATGTTTCTGTCTGTTGATGTATTTGATCAGCAACCTGTTGTTTGATAAGTTCAAGTGTTGTTTGTGGGATAAGGTTGTTGTGTATAATTGTTCGTTTTTGATCAACAACCCTTTGTTCGGTGACAGTGAGGTGAGGATATTGTTGTGTGAATATGTGGTGTAGTTGTTGTCTGTATGCTGTCATGTTTGTTTCGAGTCTTGTGATGGTGTAGTAAGTGCGGATGATAAACTCGTTCATTTCTGTTGTCCATTTCATCCGTTGGCGTGGTTTTCCAGCCTTTGTGGTCTGTGGATGCATTGCCACAGAAACACCAAGGCTAGGTTGATTCCTCACATCTGTTGAGGGCATTGCAGTAGCCATGCTTGGGCCGGCGCTGCTTTCGCCACCGGTAACCAAGGGAGACTGGAGCCTATTTTTCGAATGTGAGCCTCTGCTTAACCCACGAACGCGAACCTTGTTAACCCGGGCGACGTCCGAGCCGGTATCATACTTAGACCTGGTTACTACCATGATAAATATCTCCACAGAATGTGGGTGTGTGGACACTTTTAGCTTCATTTCTCCTCATAGACCTTACTGGCATGGGTGTCCCTACCAGGAGCTTGTGCTCCAGCCTGCATTGCTCTATGGTTCAGTAAAATTATTGGGCTCTCCCACCACGACCAGGTGGTGACCACGGGAGAGTTATTATTATTATTATGATTATTATTATTATTTTGCTGTCTATAATCACTAAATAAAGGCTAGGTTATGCTAATTATTAAATATTATTTAATTGCCTATAAGAAAATAAACTGCAATATAGTGTCACATTAAATAGTATTAATTTTTGATAAAATTAATTATAAATATATTGAATTTATCAATTTTTGAAGTTTATTAGTTTATAAATAAAGCTTTGTTATTAAAGATATAATTCCATATACTTGAAAAATTATAAAATTATAACTTATTTAACTGTTTTTAAGCTGATTTTTATTTTATTTAAATGTATTATAAAGATGGACACAATGTCCATAGATTACTAATTTATATAAAGTCATAGGATTCTTTTCTTTTCAAATTTAAGTTTTGAAGGTGAAAGTTTTACGATATTCTAAATTGATTTAAGTGTAAAACAAGCTATGGGTCATTTAGAAGTCTTTTGACTTAAATTGTGTTTGGGTGTAAATAGCTATTGTGTCAAAGAACCATCTAGATCACCCAGTATAATTTCCAAGTTTTTTCATGTTATCCAAATTAAAAATTTGGAGAATTTCAATAATAAGTTGATTATAATTTATATTATTTTTGCTAAAAATAAACATGTGTTGAGCTTGTGGATTATCCCTGTATTTGTATATTGTGAGAATGAATTTGTTTTTGGTAGCTAATTAGTTTAAGAATCATGAATTTAATTCATATGATGTCATTTTAAAAACTAAACTACATTAGTTATATTGTTGTGTTTTACAAGTGTCTGTGTATGTGTGTATATAAATTAATATATATTATTCAAAATTACAATGAAATCTTTTACATTAAAAATTCATAGGCCTGGATCTCATCTTTGGCCATGGAAAAATAGTGGTCTTTTGCAACATGTTTTAATTTCAACTCTTCAAGATGAAAATATACTTGAATTATGTTTTCAGAAAGGGTAAAATTTGATTAAAATATTAGAATTTATTAATATTTATATATTTTTAAATCTTACTCTTTGTCTTAGGTAAATGGTTATGTTTATTATTTAGATTTTGGCCTGGGTATCTTCAAATAGTAAAAAAACTTGGTCATCAGAAACGTCATTTGTTAACTATTCTTCAGTTAGCCGACATCGATCTTATTTCTGTACAACATGAAGCAGGTAAAACTATATAAAAGCTTCTGTAATAATTATTTCTTATAAAAAAGTTTTTAACTTAAAATGCAGGTTATATTCCTGAATCTATTGACATTTGGAAAGAAACTTTAACACTTATTTCAAAACAACAAAATAAGAAAGATGTAATACTGTGTTTGTCCTGCGGAGAACAATATTCATGCAAAACTCCTTTTGTATATTTTTCTGATTCCGAGCATGAAGAAAAATGGACCGTTACTTTAACATGGGAAAATATTGCTAAAAAATTGCTAGAGTGCCTAGGACCATCAGTAGCTTTATCTTTACTACAAGAAGTTGAAATACCTGCTGGTTCATTATCAACTATATTCTACAAAACTTGCATCCTTACTCATGTTATGGATCAGCAACAGAGGTAATTAAATAATAATTTTTAATTATTTTAAGTTTTTTAATATGAATTTGTAACTTTTAATATTATCTAAAATAATTTGGAGCAAATTAATAACAAACATCTTAAAATATGCAGATAATGCTGAAATCAATGAATTCAAATGCAAAATGTTTTATAAATGTCATAGGTTACACTTTGTTGCCTTGAATTATATAAAATATCTTCCTTCTAAGATTTTTTAGTGGTTATGTACTTGATATTATCTTTTGACTGCAATATTTAATTTTTATAATAAACCTCCTTCTAGGAAACATTGCTTGTCAGCAAATGAATGAACAATGTTATTGTAGCTTTATGTACGTAAATATAATAAGCAAGTAAAATTGTCATTTCAAACATCACTTTACTGGTGTTTGCATCTTTATTATTTTAGTGCCTTTGTGTTCCTACAACTCATTTTCAAGGACATTAATGGTGAAAACTAAAATTATGCCTTTAAGAATCTATATACAAAATACACTAAAGCAAAATCTGTTTTCACTTCATTAATAGGTACTTTGCATAAAAATTACATTTTATACATGATTTTGGAGCTCATTTAATGTAGATTAGACCTATTGCAACAATGTTATGTATCAGGTTTGATGTGGATGTTTATATTTATAGTCCTATTGCATCTTATTTACTGTTTAATTTCATTTAAAATAATTAGAAGTGAAAATACACCCAATTTTTCTCTTGCCATAATTGTACTCCTGCCTGTAATTCTAGCTATTGAACTCATATGATATAAAAACATTTCTGAAAATAACTTTTTATGTTGGCATTCTTTTATCGATTGCCTATTACTTTTTTAATTTTATTGGATTTCTGTTTATTTAATTTTATTATTTATGGAAAGATTCTTATGATTAAATTTGGACAGGAGGACTGACATCATTTCTTTTGAATAAAATGGTACCTAAGCAAAGAACATAAATAGATGAAGGAAAAATTGAAAAATTACATTAAATTAAATATTGTTGACTTAATTTATATGTAGAAATGACTACCTAACAATGATGATATCTATATAAAAAATGTATATTGAGAAATTATATAAAATTTATTAACATAAAACTTATAAAAGTAACTATATTTTTTTGTTTTCCCTACTTATTTGTAATTTAACAACTTTTTACTGCAAATGTTTTTCTGGTACAACTAACAATTTGTCTGTCAGAAAATAACAACACAGTTTAACACACATCATCTTATCAGACAATGATGTGTTGTAAATATATATATATGTTTTGTGGTAGTAAAAAAATACCAACTTTTACTGTTGTTATACTAATAGTACAAGTAGTAAGATAACTATAAATCAAAAACTCTATTTATTTACATCCATGAAGTAATGCACCCCTTAAAAGCAGGAAAAAAAAACAATAAACAATAAAATACATATAAATTATTAAAAACTAGAGAATAAGGGATAAAAATTTACAAAATGTACAAAATCTATGAAATTTATAAACATTAAAAATTAAAACATAAAAACAAGATATGAATATATAATAAAAGAATTACAGTGGTAAAATATAAAATATTACCTTAAATGTAAGAAATTTATATATACATTTAAGAAATGACATCAAAAAGTAAATAGGTTAATACCTTTAAGGTTGTCCTATTTACTTTTTGTAACTGAACAATAAATTAATGTTTCTGTAGCTAAAGAAAGACAAAAATTAGGAAATGACTAATAAAATAAATTATAAGTCAGTCTAAGAGCAATATGGATAAAAATGTATTGTGTGGCAAAAATTATCCATTGATGTACCTATAAAATAATAGCTGATCAAAGTAATTAATGCATGCAAAGTATTTTGGAAATACAAATCTTATTTGTGTTATCTTGCATGAATCAGTATAAGGTAGATATTCCAATTTGCTAAGCATAAAATAAATCTTATAAGTTCATTCAAAATCCTGTTAAAAAGTAATGAAGCTTGTGCTGGTCATACAGGCAGGCAATCATTGATCATAGATTGAAATTAGTGAAGAAAATAGATCTCAAAACTGAGTGAAACAAAATTGAGTTTACAGTGATGATGTGGCATCGCTGTAACTCAATTTTTCCACAAGATTCCCATTTTCATAACTAAATTTGTTACAAGTTTATCAATCCTGTGTTTAAAAGTTAATTTTTCATTGAAAATTACTCCCAGGTCACTATAAGAATGAACATTTGCTATCCATTAATATAAAAAGCATAGTAATTTAGACTTCCTAAAAGTGAATAACACATACATACTGTTTTGGATAAATTAATTTTGAAATTTACAGACTAGGGAGGCAACTAGAATACCGAGATCAGCTTGTAAGATTTCTAGATGATGAGTATTAGATTGACAATCTAATACTCATCATCTAGAAATAAGCTATATCAGCATAATCAGCATAAGCTATGAGTTTAGAATTAACACAAGGCATAGCAAGATCTGGATAAGCAATAAAAAACAGGCTACTTAATTAAAACTAATCCATATGAAATTCTGCACACTGGTGAGAACTCACAAAGTTTCCTAGTTTAGTTTTGCAGAAATGTACAAAATGTAATTATTTAGCCAAGTTCAAATAATAGGGAAAACATCATATCAATCTACATCAATGCATATGATGTAGATTGATATGAAGTTTGAGAATAAAAAACAATATTTCATATTGGATAGAGACTAAATTAGCTATGATAAAATGAAACTGGATGCTGCAGTGTTAGATGGAATTTAGTCTGGTCACAGCTGGATAGTAAATGTACTGTAATTATAAATATAGAGTTTAAAAATTTCAGCATAGCTGCAAACATATGTATGGGTCTATAAGATGAAGACTTTCCTTTGGGAATTGAGACAATAAAATAATTCTTTGGGAAAGATACATTCCAAAACCATGGTTCTGGAATATTACCTTGTGTTATATTAAGTTCATTTCAAATAATTTGCTCAAATTAGAAAATTCATTTAGTTGTTGAAAATATTTATTTTGATTTTAAAACTGTATATAAAATTAACTGATGATTAATAATTAATGATGGGTTAGTCATATTTTCTTTAATAAAGTTGTGATTAATAATTGCATATTTCCAATTATTTTAGTGCCTTATCTCGTAATATGTTAACATGTTTAGAGAGCTATTTATGGTCAAGAAAACCAACTTCAATCTCACCAGAAGTAAGATAAAAGATTTTTAAATAATTAAAATTAAAATTGGATGTTCAATTTATGTTTACTTTTTCTTGTCTTCTCAGGATTACCAAATGTTTATGAAGGAAAGACAAAAATTTCTAACAATGTCAGAACAAGCTTCATCTGTAAGTTTTTTAATTTTTATTTTAATTATGACAGCAAATTAACAAATAATGTTGTTTTTTAAAATTTTGTGTTTTATTAATATAATCAAAAAGATGATTATTCTTATGACAAAACAATTTTTATCAGTTTAATTGCAATTTTTGAAATGAGGTAATTTAATGAAAATAGGTTTTAAGCTTTGTCATAAAAATTTTAACTTCTTACATGTAAAAGTGTGATATATTCAATACTTTCTTTCTGAAAGGAAAAATACTGTCCTTTTCACTGTTAAATTTTCCTCATAATAATATTGCAGATGTAATAAATAAAATTCTAGCAAATTACCTCATATTATTCAAGAGTTACTTTAGATTCATCAAATCAATAGTTTTTATATTTCAGTGACTTGTGAATAATGAGAATCTAGAATATTAGATTAGAACAATACCATGATCATTTTTGTTTGCAATATCAGAACATTTTATTAATATTGCTGACACAAATGCTCATGGTATTTTTGTAACAACTGTTTTTAACCAAATTTCCATTCTGTATGAGAATGTTAATCCAAGTTGTCTGAAACTACCTACAATAGATTTTGATTTAGTAATTCAGAAAATTTAAAACAAACAGAAATAGCTGTATTGTCTGAGAATAAAATATCAACATGAATGTACAAAGTAAGGAACAAATTGTCTCTTGTAGTAAAACTGTGGGAAATTGCTTTATTTTTCAACTTGCTCATTCATCATCATAGGCAATTTTCTGACAATAAAAATTAGTTAAGTAATCATTCTAATGGTGACTTTTCTAGATGTCTTTTATTCCTAGAAGTCTTAGATTCATTACAGTAGAGCATCGATTATCGATTCATCCGACCCCCAATCAACTGCCACATCGGTTAACCGACCGTGTTCTAGTCGGCAAATTCAAATGTCCGCTGGTGATGCTGCACTATAATATTTGGCTATGTCTTGGCTACTTTAATATTATTTTCGTTAAATTTTTGGTGTTTTAGCTGGCAACATTGGCTCGACCATGAAAGGGAGGCCAGTATTTAAACGAGGCTTAATTTTCTAATTATGAGTGGATGTTTGTTTCGTGAGCAATAAAATAATTAAAAAATAATTTTTAACGACACAATAGCGACGAATATTATTTAAAATAAAATTTTGTTAGGCTTAACATTGATGAAAATTCAACGTGAAGTAGGTTATAAGCGATATACTAATATACTACAGTCGACCCCCCTATAATTACGATTCCTATAAAACTACGAAAAAATTGCTACCGGTATCCATAAAAAATAGTAAAAGTTCCCTATAAACACCTCAAACGTCATCGGGCAGCCGAACTACTTTCCCACCGTCCGTAGCGCCACGCTACGGAGAGATTTCTATCGTCTGGACAGTATTATATAAATTATATATAAATTAGGTACTGTATATATAATTATATATTAACTTATTGTAACTTTGTTATAATTAAATATATAATTTCCGCCGTCTAGCGTGGCGCCACGCTACAGAGATTTTTACGCTAACTATTGTCTGTCAGTATGTAAATTAGGTACCGTAAGTCTAATACAGTACTGTAATTTTATACATTTCTTGTGAAAGAAACATTTCTTATTCAACGGCGATTAAAATTATTTATATTAATGATGTCTCCGAAGTTCAAGGAGCTATTAGCAGAAAAATAAGTTATTAGAAATCGGCCGCGGTTTGGTGAGCTGTTCCGCGACGAAAACAATGTTGAGCAATGGCGATGTCGAATGGTGACGCTCGGTAAGTACTCCTACAATTTTTTATTTATAGCGTAGTTTATACGGATTATTTCCAAAAAATATATACGTGTTTTGGAAATGTTGAGTCGGATTAGTCTAGAATCGATTAATTTTATGGAAGAAAATCTTTCAAACAGCCATAGTCTGTAAACTTGATACGTGTCGGGTTGTGATTGGAAGGATTTGTAAGAAATCGGATTCCTAAAGAATGGAACGTATCTCTATCTTATAGAGGGGTCGACTGTATACTAATAATGTATTTTACATACTTTTCGGTTATCCGTTTTTTTCAGTTATCCGACCAACCCCAGTCCCCAATTGAGTCGGATAATCGATGCTCTACTGTATTTATCGTTGGCCAGGATATAGAAACCATTCACTTGATACATCCTAAAGTAACATTCAAATGATGTGGATTCAGATCACCATATCAATTACTTCTAAAATTTTCAGTTATTTTTTTTATTTATGAATTTCAATAAGTAAAAAATACTTACAAATACTCTATTATTTAATTAAGTTTTTCACAACATGGCAGCAAAATAATTGAATAAAAAATTTTAATCTTAAGAAATGATTAAGATTAAAATTGTGTGTTTTTCCTTGGAAATTTATTACATGGATGAGTCAAAAAGTAACCTTATTATGGTCATAAAAAATTTTAAATCTCATTGGTGCAGCAATAATTTTGTAGTGTCTCCAAGCATGCAGATTTGGCATGTCCAGGTACACCAGTACAACTGTGACATAAGCAGACTTTAACAAAGATGACAGCACCCTTACAGATATGCTCCAGAGAGGAGCAGTGTGTAGTTTCCACTTTTTGATTAATGAAGTTACTGGTGACAAATCAGGGGTTCATTACTTTCAGCCAGAGACTAAGCAAGGAGTGGCAATGTTCCACACCACCGAAACCAGAAAATCTTCCACAACTCCTTTGGCCAGCAAGGTAATTCTCATGCTTTTCTGGGATCATGAGGATCCAGTTTTGGAACATTATATGCCCAGAACTTTATCAGCAAACAGTGTAGCATATTGCTACTTGCTTCAGAATCATTTGAAACCTACAATAAGGTTCGAAATTTGTAGTTTATTCAGTTCTAATATACTGTTACAGCATGACAACATGTGGCCATACACATTTCATTTTGACAGTTCAAAAAATTTCAGATCTACATACAGAGTGTCTTCCAAATCCCACTATTTGCCTGACCTTGCACCAAATGATTATCAGCTGTTTCAGCTGACCAATCAAGAGGATGATTGGTAGCAAAAAATTCAGTACAGACAATGAGGTGAAAACAGTAGTGCATGAGTGGCAGTGCAGTGAACCAAAAGATTTTTTTCTTGTGGAATCCAAACACTAGTGAAGCACTAGTGCACATGTATTAAACGTGGGGATTCATTCGTATGCATGTATATATATGTATTTATGTATATATATGTACATAAAATAAATAAATAAATATATATATATATACGTATATATTTANAAAAAATTAAGGTTACTTTTTGTGACTCATCCTCATACACTGTACTGTAATTTCTAGTCTAAATTTTTTGAAATTCTTGGCTTAACTGTTGCTGTTATAGTTATTATTATATATTCATTTGGAAAAATTTTTAAAAACTAGTACAATAATTAATTTATAGATCAGATTAAACTAAACCTTTATCATCTGAATTACTTTTTTAGGAATATCATTTCAGATCCATCTAGAAACTTACTTTGTATATCTGATATTTGATGATAATTATTTGCATTGGTTAAGTGGATTTATTCTACATACGGAATGTTATTTGAAGATTTTATAATTCACTATCAAAATTCTAAATTGATTTAAAATATACAATGGAACATTGCTATAACGAAATTTGCTCTGTTTTTGTATTTAAATATGCTATAATTGATAAAAATAAACTGTGTTTATTTTTATCAATTAATAATTTTAGTTTACACATAACATTAATTTCAACTGTTTATAAATAAAACATTATCTAGTAAAATAATATAAACTTAACTGTTTATATTACAATTACAGAGCTGTTTATTAAAATCACTCTTAAAATCTTTGATAAAATGTTTATGTAATCAATAACGTTTCTTGCTATTTAAATTTTTATGTGATACATATAAACAGTGGTGATGATAATAGAATAAGGAAGACTGAACTGAACTAGATTCATACAAAACTTGTGTAATCAGATATAGATAGCTAAAGCCTCAAACTAATGAGGCAGCAAACTGTAGCTTTATAGCAACACTAGCAGACCCCGCCACGCATTGTTGTGGCTCAAAATATATCTATTATAAATGTATAACACTTACCCCGTGGGGGGAAATTTTTCGAAAAATTTATTCTTAGTGTACATTCTCTTGACGTGCCCTATTAAAACGCAATCAAAAACGCAAAAACCCGCATCTAAAATAGTATAAATAGAAGCAGAGTTCTTTACCGTAAGCCTTAATCCTAACCGTCTCCCTTCAGTGGGGTTGAATTTCGACATGTATATTATATAAAAGCACGTGCATATTCGAATGCAGCTTTGTGTCAAAATTTCAAAAAAATCGGTAGGAACAAACGAACATTACATTTTTATTTATATAAACAGATAGAAGATGATCTGCTTTAGTTCATTTTCACAGAAAAGCATAATGCCTCACAGAAAAGCAAACTAAGGGTGTCGTACTTGTAGCGCCATCTGTTGGACATAAAAGCCTTAACCTAGATTATATATTTTAATTTATATGAATGTTTAACGGGATAATATACAGCCTATGTCCACCCTGAAGTTCCATTCTAAATATTGGTGAAAGAATTTTTGAAATCGGATGAGTAGTTTCGGAGATTACCTGCTGCATACAAACTTACATACTTACAAACATTACCTCTTTATAATTATAGCAACATTATCATCAGTTTAATTTCTGTACATACTGCCATAACTATATATAGTCTCAAAGTTTTGATAATTTTTTAATCCTAGAGAGTATAATTAACTTTTTTAATTATAAAGTTATATAAATTATTTTTTAATCGTCAATAAATAATCAATTAATTGCAGTCTCATGACACCAAGCCTGTATATAGACAACAGAGTCATTATTTAGAAGAACCAGAAAGTCATTGGGGCGTAAGAACTCAACTTTTAGGATGTTGTCCACTATGTGGAATATCTCTTACCGCTCATTTAGCTTCAACTACAAGTGGAATTACAGTTTGTTCCTGTGGTCAGTGTTTATTTACTTTATAATTAGTTAAGCCGATTATATTATAAGAATCGACTGGACACGTTATCATCAAAATTAGTCGACTTTACCATTTTAATTTAAATTTTGTGAACTTCTAATGTAAACGATACCAGATTTGACAAAAATTTATCATAAATATTTCATTAAAGGGTTTCAATCGTATTTTTAAGAATTTTAAACAACAAAAAAACAATTCAAATCTGATATCGTTTAACCTCGGAGAATCTTTGCAACAAAATTACAATATGATAATACTAAACCAGTTACAGTGAAACTTCGATTATTCAAATTTGGTAGGACCAGAGGACTCCAAGATAATCCAGAAACTCGTTTTTATGTTCTGGATGCATCGGGCACTGCGCGTTTTAGTTTTACGAACTATAAATACAGTAATGCAATTATTGTATTTGAAAGAAAAGCGCTGTCCATAAATAATGTTAATACTGGAAGGGGGAGTGTTATGACAAGTCGGACAGAGTGGAGGGGCGAGGTTAAACTTGAATGGACATCCGTTTTATTTCATTAAATTTTATACAATTTATACATTTTATTATTTATAAGGTGATAAAGATTTTGAAGGTGGTTGAGTTTTGCTGGACTTCCGAAAAGGGGAGGAGTTACGGAAACCTAGAGAAACTGGGATAATGGGGAGAGGAGGGAGTAAAAATTTCAAGAAAAATGCGGACATAATTTATGGACAGCCCCTAAATTTGCTCGAAATCTAATGTAAAGTTACGTATGGTCATACCTAACTTTACATTAGATTTCGAGCAAATAGTTTCGCGGCGCTAAAGTCAACCAAACCCTTCACCTAACTGGAAATTACTACGTCGCGTAGTAATTTCCAGTTAGGTGACGAGTTTGGTGTCTGCATAGTATGTACTGTATAATACTACACATTTTAGTTTTTTTAACCATTTCAAATAATCCAGGGTTTTGGATAATCGATTTTCTACTTTATATTATATATACATACACAATGTTCATAAAAGATAATTAGTTATTCCTTTAACGTTATTGAAATGTTTCGTTCCCTTTGTAATAATTTGGGCTTAGGCTTTCCTTTAAAAATTATTTTAGAGAGTTAATTCAATTAAAATCGGCAATGAAATTTGTCGACAACACTCGAATCTTGTATAAAATTATAAATATTTACAATTAACGAAAGAATTTAATAATTAAATAATTGAATTCTATTGTTATCTTTATTTGCCTTTAAAACATAAACATATCGTCCATCTTCTTGATGATATGTTTTAAAGGCAAATAAGATAAAATTAAAATATATATAGCATTAAAATTAAGAAAACTCTTTAATTGATTTATAATCAGTTTAATATTTGAAAAATTTTAACATAAACGGTTCCATAATTTTGTCACGTGGAATAAAATGTTTACCTCTGTGTCTAACAGGTCACGCATACCATTCGGCTTGTCTTCCAGAGGAATTTTGTACAATGTGCTCTTCGAAGAAAGGCAAGGAAAAATGAGATCACGACGTTGTCTATATAAATATCTAGCAAAAAAAATTTCTTAATTTAACAGAAAAACAGTATTTTGTGCTATTCAAAAATTCCATCGACGTCAAACTGCAAATCGTTATTTTGGCAGAATTAGATTCTCGAAGAACGAATTTATTCCCACACGTAATTATGTAATTTTTAATGCTCAACTAGGATATAACCACGATCAAACGTTTAAAACTCCTTTACAAATTTGTAAATATAGAATTACATTAATTATGCAACGTATTATCCAATACGAATATCATAAACTGTACATGTTGTAAAAAATGATTTCACCAATTTATTTTAAATTATTATAATTATTAATATAATTTTTTATAAATTTTCGTATTTTAAACTAGAATATATAATTTGCTCCGTATTAATTTATATATATATTTATTTATTTATTTGTTAAAGCGATATGGAGTATTATTTATGAGAAGGACCTAGGGATTGGAGTCGTAAGTCCCCCCATACATTATATAAATTTATCGGACGACCGAATGATCGAAATATTCACTCACCGTTTTTGCGGTGGATTCGAATCACCAGCTCTTTTGTATCGCTTACGTCCGTAGCAATTTTAACACCAGTTTTAAGGTTTGGTTTAAGCAAAGTGGTATCCGTAAATATCTTCTCTGGTCTTCGTTATATGTAAACGTCGGCCAATTTACTTTGATTTCACGCGGGGTGTTTTCTAATGCCGGCACCTTTTCGATTTTGCGGATGGCATTAATTTTGCGCACCCACTCTTAATCGTTTCGATTTCTTTGAAAGCCGTCGAGTCGATACGTCCAAGTAGAGTCGAAAGTTTTCTTACCCGTGGTTTACGTGTTAGTTAGCCTAATTAAAGTCAAAGTACGGTGTGTACGTCCACGTAGCACCGGCCAAATTTTGCCAAAAATTTCCTTTCCATCTACTTTTAAAAAAAGTTTTCTAGTTTTAGCTTAGTTTAGTCCCCGATTCGAAAAGTTTTTATATTGCGAGATCGGCCACCGTATTTCCCGTGCGGTCAAAGTATTTTTCAAAATTAGTTTCGTGTGTGCGAAGGATTTACTTTTCATCCACGTCTCCTGCCATAATAGAATTTCGTTAGTTAAAATTAAATTACCGAGTGTCGGGACGATCCGAGTCGCAATTCTAATTTCTAAATTTTAGGAAGTTTGGTTCGACCGTACGCCAGAAGAGAAACGCCAAATACTTTATCCCGTTGTCTTCTATATTATTTTAACTAAAGAACTGACAAATCTAATTCTTCAAAACTACTATTTTATTCAGTATTTTCGTTCCTTTTTTCATTCGTTGCATTCGTATATTGTACGTCCGCTCCTTAAATTTACCTAATGAAGGTTACCGCAAACCAGACTTGGATCCGAGATATTTACTGTAATGGAATTATGCTAAGATTGTTTATTAAAGTGGTTTTAATAAAGCCGACGTGGTGAAAATGGCTAAGTTATTTGGCTGGCTTAAAAATATTAGTTTCTAGAATATCCTTTAAAAAATTGACCGCATACATTTCGTCTGGAAATTTCAATGGGTTAAAATTAAGGAACTTTCCTCCGGTGCCGACAGGCAGAAATTTTTCAGATTTCTGCCAGTTTGGTCGAATTTTGTTAATACTTTTGGCGGTTCTCTTCCGGCGCGTCTTTTCGGCAGACTCGCGTTTTCCAAATGTCCAATCGAATAATTGAACGACTTTCGTTTCCAGTATAAAAAAGCTCCCCGGTGGAACTAGGGAAGCCGAGAGAGAGTTTCGTAACACTTTGGGGACCGGCCATTTTTAAAAAAAATCATTAGAATCGGTAATTACGCCTTTCTTATATTTTCGTACAAATTTTTGAAAATTAGAACAGAAGATTGCTTTTTACTCGCCAATCTGCCAAAAAAGAAATTGCGTTTTTATCGTTTGAAAAGTACAAACGACCAGAGAACCTGTATATATATTCTCGCATATTATGATTTTCCAATTTTGGTCATTTAAAACTACCTCAAATCTATATTTAGCCGTTAGATTAAAACGTTTTTAAATATTTTACCTGCGTTTACAAAACGGACAAATTGTCCCGGGGGCGAAGGAGCCATCCGTAAACTCTGCGTGTTTTTTTTTTTTTTTTTTT